AATTTGAAAGCTGAGAAACAGCAAATAAGAGTGAAACATCGTAAAAAGTCATAGCCTTTCTGCCGTAAATGGGAAGGAAGTTACTTGCATTTAACCCAGTGATGGTCAACCTTAATAACTGGCCATTAAAATACAGTCCATTTTCTTGATTTATGCCATTTCTAGATGGTTCAGGCCAAGATCAGCAACTTATGGTTTGCAGATTTGTCAAATGCATACAAGAGGCCCCACCCCGAAAAAAAAAATTTAAAGGAAACAATTGTTTTGGTCAAGTGGTTAAAACAATTCTTCCAGCAGGTTTAGATAATTCTTAATTCTATATAAAGACATATGTCCTACTATATGGGCCATAAACGTCTCCAAGAATGTTGTTGATAACATCCCCTTTTGGCTGGGAGAAGGCATGGTTCAAGTGAAGCCAATTCCCTATCTGTCTCCTCTGCCCATATTCAGAAGTGACAGGTCTCAGCCCAACACAGCAGGTGTGCCTGGGTGATAGGCAAACGTGGAGCTTTCGAGTTGCAACCTTCTGGTTGGGAGTCTGTCACTCTTTTGCTTGAGATTGGGAGGGATGAAAAAGGAGAGGGGTGAAATAGTACCCTCACGAGCCAGCAGACACGTTAAACAATGCTCCGTTCTCTTAATTTAAATCTGCCTTTTCAAGAAGGTTTAAAAAGAATCTGCCGTCAAAAACGTCCTTCTTGTTTAAATAGGAATGCCAAAGGCTGTCTAGACTATAAAGGAAGAATAATATTCCATTGTGCATATGGAATTTTTATATCGCTTTGATATTCTGATCTGCTGCCTGGCCTACTGTTTGTAACTTGGCATGTCACCGTTATATTTATTGCAGCATCTAACACCACCCAGCTGTTCAAAGGATCCAAGATATAATAATTGTATAGAGTACAACATACCAGTCATTTTTTCTTGACTGAAGACTTCTTGAATAAATATTACTGAATGTTTTATGCTATTATTTATTTTCTCCTTCAAACAAGGTTGTGAGACAGATTTACTGAGAGTCCTTCAACTAAAGAAACAAAGACCCAACCTGTAGGTTATGGGCCCCACTTCCCATTGTCTACAGCACAGGGCTGGTTAGACACTGAATTGAATGCCATTGTGCAAACTGAGAAGCATGCAGCGCATCCACTGTAGCAGTCAATAGCTGTGGACTATAAGTGGCAGAAGGATGCCAAAAGCAAAACCATCCCCTGCTCCGATGCTAAACTGGAGCTCTGACAGAAGAAAGGTTTTCATGCAGGCAGTTGTCCCAATGTGGGGGCTTGACATTCGGTGTTAACAGTTAAGTGTCAGGTCATAGCTACATACAGATGATTTTATTGCAAAATATAATTTTCTTAATTACTTTACTTCATTTAAATTATCTGAAGAATATTTTGCTGATTTGTTTTTTAAAAACATTTCAAAATAAGCAACGTGTAAAATACCAATGGAAGTCAGCATTATTATGAATGTTGTTTTACACTAAAATCTTATGTACTTATCTTAGCTTTCTCCCTGTTACCAGTATCACTAATTAATCCTTTTAAAAAAACTAATAATAAACATCAACATCACATTTATTACCTCATTAAAATGACTGCTAAATATTTAAATAAGTTCTTGTACATCGCTTGAAGATTTCTAACAGACTTGAGTATCGCAAAATTAATGCTGCGTGCATTTGAGTTGAAAACTTCTATATGAATCCAAACAGCAGGGGTTGGTCTTTTTAGTCCAACATTCAGAGAAAGTGCTGATAATTAACTCAAAAAGTCTATTTTGCGCAAAAGATTTAATGGCCTTAAAACACACACAGCATTTTACATCCCAGCAAAACAGAGAGAAATATTTATCAGTTAAGTACCCTGATACCGACAATTCTTGACAGCTGCATCTATTACAATATTCAGTTAACTCCATAGTGGAACGATGCTGCTATGTTAAGCGGAGGCTACTATTGTACCACCAGTCACACTTTGGAAGCAAAATACCGGTAGAATTAATCGTGAATCTGCAAATGAAATCAATTCCACTTGCCTGCTATAGTAAAGATCTTAAAACAATCAGTAACCTCTTACTACGTGAGCACCTAAGGCCATATTCATAGTTAATTGCAGATTAACATTCAATTCAATATAATGAACCCTTTTCAGATACTGTAGGTAAAGCTCTTTGATTTCAGAAATGCAGCTTTAAAGCAATTGGCTTCTTCAGTTCAAACTAGGGCGAGTTTAGTGACAATGTTATAAAATGATGAACCATCAGGACTACTTGAAATTGCCACCTTAAAAAATGTGCTTTCCTTTGTAAACTTTTGCCTTCCTTAGCCTTCAGAACAAGAAATTGAAAGCAAGGTGTATACTGTTTCTCAAAGATTGTGTCGGATCACTGCTGCTGACAACTATGTAGTTATAATAAAAGCGATTTGGGCCGTTACCCTGCATGAAGGGCGCTATATAAATGCAAGTTGTTATTGTTGCTGCTGGTCTGGGACAAGCTCCCAGCGGTCCACCCCAGAAATCTTTTCAGAATCAATGACTCAACAGGCTTATTTACTAATTGTTTCCTATGTTTTAAGAAGAAACTGAGCCAGGCTCCGCTATCAAAAAGGTTGAGAAACAGCAAAACTACATCCTATGATTTCAAATACACATTTATAATCTTCGTGATGGTCCCAGGGCCACAGAACAAGAAATGCAAATTGGTGCGTTATACCATCGAAAAACACTTTATCATTTCGTTCATTCTCTTCAACTGCATGAGCTTCCCAATTCATTTTAAAACTACAATAAAACAAACACAAATATCTCATTTGAGAACTGTGATTACAAGTGCCTCAACCTTAGCCTGGACGGTAATCAGTTTAATAGGTGATGATCAATGATTGAATAGGTTGCATGCGACCTGTTGAAAGTACGGGTTTGATGGATGGTTGGCGATGGGGAAGAAAAGGAGGGGAAAAGCATTTTCTCATTCAGCACCTTATGTTCTTAAGAAGCATCTTACCCACACGTGTACTCTTTACTGACTCCATACCAACTCGTTCCAGAGATTTTACAGTGCCTAGTCAGTGTGGAGTAAACAGCTCACAGAAACATCTGCAGTGCATGTCAACACTTCGATGTGTTACAGATGCCGTATCTCCAGTACAAGCGTGCAGACATTCAGCAATTGGAAGGGCACAACACTTCAGGCAGTCTGACTTAGCACCAATCCTAAATGGCCCTGATTAATGGTCTTACTCTGTACTGACAATACATCACCTTCACAGTAAAGTCAACATTTCTGACAAATTTAAATATGGAGAGTGTTACAAAGACACACAAAAAAAGCACCAGGCTGCCAAATTTGTGATCAATTTTCACCAATTTCTGTCTGGAGGGACTGCTTTTCATTAGGTAGGATTTATTAAAGATCAAGTTTGCACTTCCTATATTGTGAGGCCAATTAAACAGACTGTATAAATAATCCTTGCATTTAATATAGTGCATTTCATGTCAGGGGGAAAAAAATCTTAAAGCGTTCCGCAGAATTTACAGTAAAGTGTAGCGACTGTGTATTTTGGAGGCAAACTGAACAGTCCAATTATCAGAATTATCTTTCTGAGGGCAAGTCAAATGGTCTCGCAATAATTATCAGCAAGAGAGCACAGAAAGAATTAGTCAGAGATTACAAGTTGAAGTCAATCTAAATCTGGTAGGTTGGAGAGATTGCAATTTAACTGCTCTTATTTAATTCCGAGGTGGCAAAAATTCACAAGGTGCAAGTTTGGCCCACAAAATATAGAGTCAATTCACTTTACAGTATATTTTGTGAATCGCTTTGAGACCCCTCGAAAAGGTGATAAGGCGCTCTATCAAATGCAAAGTTTATTATTATTATTAAGATGCCATCACTGATGTTTTCCTTCACTTCTTTTCCCAACTCCTTCACAGAGCTGCTCAGCCTGAATGCATTGTCCAAAGCCAGAATACCACTTTCTCACAAACTCGATGGATCAACCAGAAGTAAGGAGAATACCATTAGGTGGGGAGGAGTGGGGTGGGGGGGAGGGGAAGACAAGACGGACAGATCATCAGCTTTCACCCTGAGTGAGGATACTAGTGGAGTGGGAAATTCTCCACACATGCAACCGACTTTGAACATCAGCCATCTCCTGGCACTTAAAAGTGAGGAGCTCAGTGTTGCAATGTGATCACATAACCTGCTGCTCTGTTTAACCACACAACTATTGTTTCTGAAAATCCAACTTTCATATAAAGTGAAAGCATGTCTCCAAAGCTTCCCTAATATTAGTTTTTCCAAAATATTCCAAAGCAAAGAATCAGTGCTGTTAGATGTCATTCTCAAAGAAGGAGTATAAGAGTATAAGATAAACAATTTAACAGCACTAATAATCAGCATTACTCCAATGAAGCAATAAAATTCAGGGAAATAGAACAAATAATGTTTTTTTTCTTGAGCTAAGAATTACTGTTCGCCTGGACAATACTAATTGTTCATAAGAGGATTTACTAACATCCAAAGTAAATTGATGTACACATGCCTTACAAATCCTCCGAGGAAGCTCAAGTGAAAGAAAATCCTTTACACACCCTCTGTTCAAGAGGTTGTCTAAATATTTGTCTGCAGATTGGCGCCATATTATTGTCTGTTCATTGTGACATCTGATACTTTTTAAAGTTACAGTGCAACATGTGAGCAGAACTATTAATTCTAAATACTATTGGTTTAGGTTCAGTAACAATATCCCTTTTAAAAATAGAAAGTGTATAGGAAAGTTAGGGAACATTTGAGCTTTCGACAGTAAACCACCCAGAACATGAGAAACTTGCTGAAGAATAAAATTTTATTCTATTAAAATCAATCCATTAAAATAACGGACAGCTTAATCAAAACGAGACAGATCAAACCAGCAGTACATTGATAGAAATGACAAGTTTGATTCATAAAATTTAAATGGAAGGTGTAAATAATAATAATCCTTGCATTTAGCGTCTTTCATGTGAGGAAGATGTCTAAAGGTGCTTCACATAATTTAATGTATATAAAGCAGGGACTGGGTATTTTGTAGGCAAACAAATAAGCAAATATATAACAGATCAGATATAATGCTCACTTCCTATGCCTTTTTATTTTCAATACATTGTTCGAGTAAAATCGATTATTGATAAGCCTCATTTATAAGCCACAGATTTATATTGTACCAGTGCTGTATATATTGCATTTGTTTATTTAAAATTGTATTTTCAACTGCTATACAGAAATTTTATTGCATTGTCAACAGAACTGTAATAATACAGAATATGATGTTTTTCTGGAGAAACATATACTGTATGGGTCAAAAATTCAACACAAATCTGGCACATTACTGGTTCTACTTTAAAGAAAGTACACAGAGTAAAGTACAACACTGCTTCAAAGAATGTGATAAAGCACTTTATATTTGGTAAAGAAGTTAAATCTCTTTTATGCCAGTTGGCTTTTGTTATTGACTGTGGAAATATATTACAGAGAACAAAAACACAAACTTAATTTACCCGTCACAAGTTCCCATCACTATTTTTGCATTTTTTATTAAGATGATGGATTGTGGGATTTTGGTGACTGAGCTGTTTTTTGAGGACATTGCCAATTTGGGATTCACAATTTGCCCTTCGCTTATCTCATCAGGAATTTTTGATCTCTGATACACCTCATCCAAGTAACCAATGGTACATCACCCAATTTATCCATGCGTGCGAAAGCCTTGAAGGCAATCATTGGCAGGGGATAAATCACAGCCAAGTCTCATCGTCTTCTCACATGCCATTCACACACTTCCAGCAGCCTTCTCTTAGTCACGATCAAGGGTGCAAATCTGTTGATTTTGCCCGTTCCAACCCTGGATTACTGAAGTTTATTATAACCCCACAACCTCTGCCTGGTTGAGATCAGCTAACGCAGCCCAAAATGTGATTCCAACCTTTAAACAAAACGACAAGAATACAAGCAAAATGCTGCAGAAGTCGCTGGGAACACTCAGCAGGTCAGGCAGCATCTATGGAGAAAGGAAAGTGAGTCAACGTTTTGGGTCCAACCTTCCAACCTTTAAACCTTCATTTAAATAGGATTGAAAAAGAAACAGAACAATACTTTCAGATGCATTAAGATGATAGAACAAGAGAACACAGTTTTACAGTTGCAAAAGAAAATTTCAGGACAGGAAGTATTTTCTTTACCCAGAGGGTAATGAACAACTGGAAAAAGGTTACAGGGAAGATGACTGAGGACAGGACACTGGAGTCATTCAAAAAAAAGGGGGTGTGAAGTTGGTAGGGTGCATATTCTGGAAGGTTATGAAATAAAATGGGACAAAGTACCTTCTTCATCCAAACCAATGTTGTGATTTTACAAGGTCTATATGGCCTAGTGCTGCAGTCAGGTGGTGCCTTTACTCATTACCACAATCACCGATTTTAAATTACTTTTTGTATTTTGAAGGTTTGGATGAAGCAAAAAAATGCAGACAGGGAACTGCTTTAAACCATTGTTTTTCCAAAGAAGGCAGCTGCTCATTAATAATAAGACCTGGGTTTGATTCCCGGCAGGGCAAGATGTTGGGCAAGTTTCCTTACTCCACACGCCTCTGTTTACCTAGCAGTAAGTAGGAACCCGGTTGTTAGTCGATTGGCAGATCGCTTTTCCGCAGGTAATAATTCCTTCAAAAAAAATAATAAATTGGTCACTTCAATCCGACTGTTTGTGGGACGCTGCTGTGCACAATTGGCTGCTGCATTTCGGCCACAAAATATACAATCAATTCACTTTATAGTAGATTCTGTGAAGTGCTTTGAAACGTATCAAAGATGTAAAAAGGTGCTATATCAAACACAAGGATTATTATTATTATTTCCAGCTTCTTTGGAAACACATAAAAGGTTAGTGATGCAGCACACATTCACTTCCAGTGACTTGTTCTTCCATTTCAGACGCATTTCATAAATTCAAGATCTGTTGAAACAAGTGAGATTTTTGTATCCTGGCCGACTGATGCCTATTCAGGTGGGAAAAATATTCCTCACATAATGTGAGAAAATAGAAACTCTTCCACAATGTGAGGGAAGAATTTCCAGTTTAAGTGTAAGAGTGACAGGTAATTTGAGGTAAATCAGGCACCAGAATAGGTTGGTACTGTAGGGAAGAGAGAGAGAGGGAGAAAGTGATAGAGAAAGTTATAGAGAGAGCAAGAGAAAGTTTGTGTGTGAGAGAGAAAGAGAGAAAGTTTGTGTGTGTGAGAGCGAGAATAAAAATGTGTGTGTGTGTGTGAGGGAGAAAAGTTTGTAAGAGAGAAAGTGTGAAATATTCATGCAATTAAATAAAAAGGAGAGTAAGCAACGGAAATACAAAATTCTGGAACATTACATGAAAATGGGATCCTCATTAAAATCAGTACTGTACTCCATTAAAAATGAAAGATCACTTGCAAGAAATATAGCAAAAAAAATTCTCATGAAAGTAATGCTCATTAACTCTAGACGTTATACTGCGTTGTAAGGATTATACAGTTTTTAAATATGTGATAGTAGCTCACAGCTATGTGCCGTATAAAGTTTTATAGCAAACGATGAAGTTTGAAGTCATTTATTTAACTAAAATCCGACTTAGATTTTTTTTCTTTCTCCCCTCTCTCCCTTTCAGAGATCTAACCACACAGGCTTGCATTCAGTTTACAGATGGCGCCGACCTTCATTCAGCCTGTGAACCCTCTGGTTTCTTGCTCTGTGACTGGCAGCCGAAGACATTAAAGGGCATTGTTTTCCATCAGCAATTCTATAAATATCAGTGAGAAAGCTGAGTTGCAGGGCGTTGTGGCTTTTTTAAAACAAATCAATAAAATATGAATTCATATTGTCCGTGGCATATGTTTCGTATTTAATTCAAAGGGCGCACAATGTGATGGTAACAATTATGTTGAAAGGCAGCGGAATGAAAGTTTAAAAGACCATCTTCAGCGTCGTGAACTGAGATCAGGGCAAAAAAAGATATTTATAAAGCCAAGCTGTTTGTACTTCACAGAGGAAGCAGTGCTGGCTCTAGAGCACACTGCTTCTGGACCTTCCTGGTTTTATGTAGGCAAGGTCATGTCAGTTACAACCTTAGGGTCACCGCAGTAAACATCAGCCCATCAAGATAAGAGCAGATCAGCAGATGATATTAATTACCTGCTCTTTCAAGTCATCTCTGCTTCACATCTGTTTTCTCCCTGTAATGTTTAGCCGAGCCAATAAAAGCAGACAGAGACAGTGCTCCAGTGGCCTGAGACAGAAGAGAGTTTTTTTTAAAAAAAATAAAAAACAAAAGTCACACATGACCGCTTTTCAGAACTCTTCCACAGGCTTTGACTTTGATTTTCACTTGTACCATAAACATTCCCATTTTATTAGGAATGTCACTGAAACATTACACAAAAGTGTCTAATTAAAAATCCCAGCATGGTCCTGATGCAGAGAATTACTGCAAAGCTAAAAAAANTCTGCAGGCAATTTCATGTCATTCTGTGCCCTCTGCATTTTACTCTTATGAATATCGGCAGCTTTTCTTTCCTAAAAAAGCGTATTTTGTCTCCGAGATCTTAACTTTTTCCCCCTCCCCTCCAAACACAAACCGAGATTGTGATAAAGAACAGCCCGAATCGCAGATCTCCGCTGCACACTACTTTTATTCTGTCTAACCACATTCAAATGCATCATTGGCATTCAAAGTCCCTTTTCTTTCAATTTCACAAACAAAGCCCCTAGACCACTGAGTGCTCTAAACTCACAACACTTCACATTCTGTTCGGGGACGAGAGCTGTTACAGTATCTGTTTGTCATACTTCTACTTTCCCACAGGACATTCTATGAGTTGTCCTTTCTACCAAGTGCAGCTTATCTTTGAAACAGGCTGCCTGCAGATAGGACAACAAAAGCACATCAAAGCCATTTATCCAGCAAGGCCTGATGTGGTTCCTGTTAACGCCAAGAAATTAATGTTGAATTAATGTTGAAAACACACTTTGAATTTCAATAGACAACTTAGAAGATTCCACGTTAACTCATGAATTTCACACCTTATACACTGTGGAATCATTCTGCTTTCTGCATTGTTGGTGCTCTTTAGTACTGTCAGCAAAATCTTTATTATATTATTAAGCCCAATATTGGCTGCATTACAGCAAACTTGTATTTTCCCGAGTTAAATTAGAGTACAAACACGATCGTACAAACAAATAAATGCCAATTAACCCTATTATAAAGGAAGGACTTGACAAAACAACCCAATCTGAAGTGTTCTGCAATGTTTTATGCACTAAATATGGGTTATGAAGTATATTTGAAGTACGGCTTGATACTTCCCCTCAATTAGTGAAACTCTTGATCACAAATCTTCTGTACAAGTTCTGCTATTTATAGAGCTATTGGGATTGTTTGTCATTCACTAATATGAATCCTGAGAGGTTTAGGATTTGACATTTATACAACAACCATATCTACATTGATTTACACTGTGTTGTAGGGTTTATTTGAAAGGTTCAGCAGCAAATATGCTGTACATGTAAACGTAGAACCAAGATGAGGCCATTCAGCCTGTCGAGCCTTGTTCTGACATTCCTCAATCTAACCATTTTAATGATTCACCTGGCACAACCCTTCTGCTGGGATACAAGAACACACAGGCTTTCAACATCACTGCAGAAAATCAGCAGACTGCCCACAAGGTAACCAGTAGCAAGCAATCAGGACATTTTTTTTTACAATCCATTTTATTCCACAAGTGACAGAGCAAGAAACAAAGTGCTAAAAGTTCAAAACCTCCATGCAATGCAGATTGCAGTCTACCAGATTTATGGTCCCATGATGTACGTATCTTGCCCCCTGCCCCCTGGCTGAGAGCAGCAGGTTCCATCTCCAATCCATTGATGACACTGGTCTACCACTACTCACCGTTGGTAGCTGTTACAAATTGTTGTTTCTTTCTATTTTGTCATCTCTTAAAATAAACTACTGCAAACAAAATCCATAGCCTCCAACATTTCAGAACTTGGACTTGCTTATTAGCCTCAAATCCTCAAGTTATCCCATTCTAAGCATTGCTTTTTAAGGCCTAGTTGCAAAAATGGATATTGCCACTCCATCAGAAGGTAACAGATCAAAGCATAACATTTTTTTTAAAATGTTAGATACAATAGCAAATCAAAACTTTTATCCATTTTTTAAAATTAGCTCTTTCGTCCCTTTATCCTTTACAAAGAGCTGCAGGTTTTTTTAATTTTTTTTTGATGATACAAGGAATTCATTTTGGTTCTTTTCTCACTGCTTTTGTTCAAAAGTTTACATCGCTGAGCCACAGTCTCTCCTACTTCTCGATAGTAAACAGTAAATGTTCGTCCTCACTACTGAATATAAAATATGCTTAAACGATGTTCATTTAATATCCTGGAAATGTTCTACACTTGCTGCTTGCTTACTGTTTACTGATATCTGGAATGAGTTCAGTGAGTTCAGTCAACAGCATTGAAGATGAACATCAATAACAAAACACACATCGGGAAGCAATCACACAAAATTGCAATGATTTGTATTAGCATAATTTAGTAGCCAGGAACAGACACTTCTGGAAACAAATTTATGAAAATCAACAAGACATTCATACAAGCAGATCAGATGTTACTTAGGATTGAAATGTATAGGCAGATAAACTTAAAACAAACTTCTTTGACAGCGATTTCAGTCATCTTTTCTCTCTCCACCCCCTTCGGCCCCCAGCCACAACTCGAATGCCCAACCTAAGCACTTTGAGAAATTCTCCCGTAAAATGTAAATTATATTGTAACAGTTAGTGCAATGTCACTCAATGAGTTTGATTATATACTGTGTATTGATTGCTGTTTTCACAAACACTGGGGAACAATGGCTACATGCTTGATAACTGGAACTAGAACAATAGATTCTACCTAAATACTATCTTTTACAACCACAAAATGATCTGTCGGTTGTTGACAAATAAAAATTCCTCTAACATTAGTAACATAAGATAATGAGCAAGTTACAAATGTATGTCAAATTTATTTGTAAACCAACTACAATCGTAGGTATTTATTAGCGTTAAACAATCCATTTGTATGAAAATACACTCGCCAATTGCTAATGAAATCTGTGTCTCTCACGCTGAAGTACATTTGGGGAACCTGATAGAGATTTGCCGTAGGGAAGCACCCTCATGGGCAGCACTATCTGAAACTGGTTTGTTAAGTGCTCGGAGAAATTAGAAAATAAAGGGAGGCATTTGAAAGCAAAGAACTTAAAGTACGAACACAAGAATACCCTGGAGCTAGAGAGGTTCTTCAGTTTGTTTCCGATCGCTCTTTTATTCCTCTTTAGATGCTTTGTTAAGTTTGCTGAGGTCCTTTGTAGGTTGGTGATAAAGGCGAATAACCCACATGTATAGAGTGTCAAACAGGAACCGGCTTTGACCCTCAACATCAATAATTCAGCCAACAGGGTAAAGGAAACCCATGTACTGTACTATACATCACCATTCAGCAACTGAACAAGTTCAGATCTTGAGGTGATGTGGGTTAACACTGTATTTTCAACTCTAAAAGCCGGATGTGAATCCAGATTAAAACGACAAGAATACAAGCTTAAAAAGCAAAATACTGCAGATGCTGGAAATCTGAAACAAAAACAGAGATCGCTGGGAACACTCAGCAGGTCAGGCAGCATCTATGGAGAAAGAAAAGCTTATCTTGTTCTACAATTATAAGGGATGTATATAAAATGAGGTTTGGGTAAACGTAATCCAGTTCTTAATAAACGCAAATCCACAGTGCAAAGTTGCCAACAATTCACCCCAAATTGATTAGTGCCCTTTGAGAAAGTCTTCTGCAACAACTCAATACGTTACAAAGCATTCTGTAACTGAAGTAAATAACTAAGGAATAAGTAGAGGTGTAATTCAAAGGGTATAACTTTTAAATATCAGTTTTCACAGTAGAAGACATTGAAGCATTTCCATTCTTACAACCAAAGGGATGGGAAACCCATCCAAATTCATGGTGAAAATAATTAGCAACAAAATGCACATTAAAAAAGTAAAGTACTTTAAGGCTTACATCAAAAAGTAACCAGATAGAATGCATTTACCATCAACATTCACCATGAGCTCCATAAGTACAGGAGACCGACTTGACAGAGAATGAAAACAGTTATTTTTTTAAAAAACCTGTATTGCTGTACATCTATAATAATGCTTCACAACCATAAATGAATATATTGCAAGACCAGAAAGTTCTATGGGGTGTCTAATAAAGAAGCAAAATTCAACGCTACTGGCCAGACTCCAACACAGAAAACTGAAAAGATCAAAAACCCACCTCCCAACCTCCACCTCCAGAACATAGCAAATATTATTCCAACCTTTTTTAAAAAAAAGGTCAGGGGTATGCTCCTAGAAATTAAAGGTACATCTCAACATTTATGTTGGGAAAATATTACAATCCATCATAATAAAGTAAGGCATTTTGAGTGTAAAGGATACCATTCATATTGTTGATATTATAGTTTATATCTTTACAAAAAAAATCTGATAAGATCTCTCATAAAACACATATTGGTAAAAGGGAGAGGCCTCGCAATTTGGATAATTGTTTGGCTAGATAATAGGAAACAGAAGCTTTTCATCAAAGGTAATGGATCTAATTGAGAGACGATGACCAGGAGAGTCCTCCAGGAATTGTCTGTCGGATCCTTGGCTGTTTATATAATTGATGTTAATAACCTCAGTAATGGTATTGAAAGTAATGATGTGCTTATACAATTTTGCTCATGGTAAATCTCAATTTTTTCAACAGTAATATCAAAAAATCACATAGTGTATCAGAGTTCTGTCTATGCACTTAGTTACACATATACAGAATTCTCCGAGGACTTCAAACAATGCAATGGAGAAATGAGTAGTAGAACTTTCAACTCCACATTCCTTTTCCACTCAAAGTAAATACGGGTTCATTTCCAGGGATTCCCAGCAGCAAAAACAGGTATAAAACACCTATATTTACAAACAATGCAAAATTATACTGTAACATGTTCTGAGGCAAAGGATACCATTTGAAAAGCTTAGGAGCCACACAGAGAACTTAACATTTAGTTTAAAATAAAATGTCAATAAATAAGATACATTAAGAAATTAATCCCTATCGACTGCATATTGATATGATAAATCAATTGTAAACGTACGGTAATGATTGCCAAGCCAAAGCACATAGAATTATAAA